GGGTTTAATATTTTTCCTAGAACTTTTTTTTTTTTTTTTTTTTTTTTTTTTTTTTTTTTTTAAAAAAAAAAAAAAAAAAAAAAAAAAAAAAAAAAAAAATCAAAGCAACACTTATAGAACAAAGTAAGTAAAAATATTAAGTTGATCCCTCTAATAATATTTGACCATAGACACTCATGAAGGCCACATGTATTTAAACCCAGACTCCAACAATGTCCAAAACAGGCCCTCTTCATAGGCCCCAAGAGACTTGGCCTCTCCCATTAGATGCCACAGTGGAAACCTTGCAGCCACCTCAAGAGCAGTATTTCCCTAGTAACAAACCAACGATGTTCATGGTACATTTCTTCAACCACCCCTGTCCCCAGAGAGATTCAGAATCACAGGATATTTGTTACCAAGACGGACTCTTCTGAGCTCTGTGTATAGGAACACAAAATGTCATTCTGTACCAGTCACCTCAGTCAACGTAATCAGTAACTCAGATTCATAACCTATAATCAGTAACTAGTTTCCTAAACATAATCAGTAATCAAAGAAACAGACCAGAAACACGTGTTTTTTCTTTTTACCTGCAAAGCAGACCACAGAACAGAATAAACAACTGAGAGAAGGAACCTATATAAAGCTACATAATACAAAAATCATGGGGCAAATTGCTACCAGGCCCACATAACACACTGGTTATTTCCGAGCACATTTAGGATTGTGACAGCAAATCATTTATTTGGCAGAGAAGAAACGACTGCCAGAGAAGCTTAGAAGAATGGTCTAAAAACAGACACGAAGACTTAAAGGAAAACAACACAAAACAAAATCTAAACCTAAACACAAGTGGCATTTGGAAAACAGACTATTTCCAGTCTGACCAAGACTCATTTTTCCAGCATACATCCAAACTGGCAAACACCCAAGAAGCTAATCCACGCTCCAGTTACTGGTACACTGTTTGGGCAGTTCTACAGCTCAGGCACCGGTGGGTACATCTGGTGTAGATCAGAAAACACATTCCCATGTATTTTAATAGGGGGAAAGAGTAGACCGAGGAAAAAATTTATATTAATACTGGCATTAATGTCAACAGCAAAGCCCCCTGAAATAAAGGAGTAGCAGGGCTGTCACCCATCTGCATAATGGTCTGAAGCAGCATCCCAGGTTTTATTTGCAGCAATTTCTTCTTCATTTTAGGAGCAGAGTGTTTCATTCAAATTCCCTGCCGTACACCTGCTTGTCTGTAATTGATAGGAATGCATACTGAGGAGTCCAAATAAACAAACTCTGTTTCAAGTAGGTGTTTCAACCAATATCCACCCTCTCAGCTGTTCTACATAATCCAGCCAGTGCAGGGAATTATAATTCCCTTAGAGTATCATTAATTGATCGGTTTTATCAATTAAGTTTGTCTAGTTCTCATTTCCAATTAATCCTGTTAGTATGGGGTTATATATAGAGAGGGAAAGAATCAGACTCCACACGTGCTGCCACAGGCAGAGTAAGACGGGTGAGCTATGGAACTCCTGAGAGCTTTTCAAAGAGCATCTCTTGGGCTGAGTCTGGTGAAGACACCATAGAACACAGGACTAGAAATAATACCCTGCTACAAGGTGAGGGGGACCAGAAACAGAACCAAAAAAAAACCCCAAAAAACCCACACACAGTGGTATTTTCACTGGTATATGAATTCTAGAAAATCCAGGTAGGGCAAGGCCCCAGGATTCTAACTCATGACGTAGGCAAATTTTGACAAGTTTTAAGAGACTTTTTGTCTTGGTGTACTGGTTTTGGCTGGGATAGAGTTCATTTTCTCCATAGTAGCTGGAATGGGGCTACGTTTTGGATTTGTGCTGGAATCAGTGCTGATAACACAGGGATGCTTTAGTTACTGCTGAGCAGGGCTTGCACAGTCAAGGCCTTTTCTGCTCCTCACACCGCCCCGACAGCGAGTGGGCTGGGGGCACAAGGAGTTGGGAGGGGACACAGCTGGGACAGCTGACCCCAACTGACCAAAGGGATATTCCATCCCATATGACATCATGCTCAGAAAAGCTGGTGGAAAAAGGAAGGGGGGATGTTGGGCGTGATGGTGTTTGTCTTCCCAAGTGACCATTACGCTGATGGAGCCCTGCTTTCCTGGGGATGGCTGAACACCTGCCTGCCCACGGGGAGCAGGGAATGAATTCCTTATTTGCTTGTCTTGCACACACAGACATTGCTTTATCTACACAACTGTCTCTTCTGAAAGATGCAGAAACCAAAGCACAACCTCTCAACAGCCCCCAAGTGCAACTCATTGCCACTATTCTTCTGCGTCCCAGTTAGATCAAGCCAGTTTAGATACGACATAATGTGCTACCATAACCTATTCAATTTTGCTGTGAAGGCACAGGCATTTCAGTCAAACTATTTAGTACAGTGAATTACGACCTTAACAGTCAACAGATATGCAGCAGGCAATGATCAGAGGCGCTACACACAGTGCACTGTAAGTACTGCTCGGAGTATGGTTCTGTTCCTAAAACAGATTTAGAATGCGTACCTCTTGAGCCAAATAGTTCTAATAATAGAATATAGCAGCTTCTGGAAACATGAAAACTGCACCATCTCGGCTGTGTGAGCAGAGACAGAAGTTCAACACCTCTGGGACATGTCCTGTTTTTTCACTTTATCTATATCAACATTTTCAGGACATCAGCTTGCAAAAAAACCCCACTTTTAAACCAGCAGAAAGAGTTTCCTTTAAAATTTGATTAATGCAATATGAAAGTTCAAACAAAACCAGTTATTTTCCAAACACTTGGAAGTCTTTGTGGCAGTTAAATGAATTTACTGGCATAGCTAGGTTATCAGGACCTACGCTATATTCCATATAATACAAACACAGAGTAAAAAGAATTCTTTCTACCTTTCTACCTGTATATCCTCTTACACCTTTCTAGGCTCCCACTTGGGAGCTGAACAATCCGATTCCCTTAGCACCTTCTTCTCTATTTACTTGAGGGTCATAAACGATTACCCTCCTATTTTCCATGTGAATTGCTAATGCTGATCAAGAATGATTTGCACCATGAGAAAGGAATGAAACTACAACAGAAAATTAAAATACTCTTTATTTCTGAAAGGGTAATAAGAACTCACAAAAACATTAACCGAATAAGAAACAAACTGGTTTGTCTTCATCCAATGACTATTTCAATGTACAAAATGTAACTCCATCAGCACATCGTAAATAATGCAGCAAATAACTGGAATATTTAATTGCCAAATAAATACAAATGTGTTCATCTGTTGCTCAAGACTGTTAATTGTTAGCACCTCAACATCACACCAAGGCAGGAAAATATTTCCCTGGAAAAAACAGAATAGATTGACCTCATCTTTCAGGCTACATTTTTTGGAACACTATCCAAGGTGCCCATTTCAGTCCAACAAGATTTTTAATGAGTATAGTGCCACTGAAAGGTTAAAACAACCAAAGGTAGAAACCTGCTGAAACTTCTCCAAAAATAGACTACAGCTCACCCATGATCATCTGCTGCCTGGAAGATAACTAATAGGTAATCCACATGGAAGAGAGAGGTTTAGGACAATGTCAGTTGAGGACAATAAAAACTACCTACAACAAGACAACATCCAGGTATATATCAACTAACTAGTAAGGATAAAACACATTTTACACAATGAAATGTAACAGCAAGGCATTTTGGTGCTTATGGCAATATATCAATTTGGTACAATCTCTCAGCAATGGGAAGCAATAGCCTCCTGCCTTCCAGCTCCCACTGAGCTCAGAACTCTCTCTGCCCTAGACAACAGCTCCCTCCTCACTTCTAAACTCACCAAATTTTCACACTGTTTGTGCCACACACTATATATTACAACCATTTACAGATAACGAAGTATACAAAATTTTTGTACACACTAAAATATGTCTTAAAATACCATAACATTGAAATTAAAAAGTTGAGACATAGAGACACAACAACATTTAGCTGTTACAAACATGAACAAAATTATTGCAATTTTTTTAACTTCCTACTAGGTTTTAAGATACACTTATTAATATCAGGACAATGTCAGTGTAAACACCTACAGTGACAGTTGCAGAGCAGAATGTGTGCCTGTCACGAGAGAATCTGGGTCAAAGTAGCAGCACCATAAAACATCACCCACATTATCTCGTGCCAGAAGAAACACTGAAAAAAGAACAGCCTAGCAAGCAGCTGTTAGGCCAAAAATATCCTAAGTTGTATTTACTCCAAAAATATTTGCTCTTGGACATTATCCTTTGGCTCCCCTATCCCTAATTAAGTAGAGCATTTTATATAAGCAGTCTGCATTTTTCCTGTTTAATCACCACTGCCCTAATATGAATGAGATCTATGATAATGGCAGAGAAAATACAAGCTAATGATTTATTAAATATTTCAATATTTTATCCTTTAAAGGTTACCCATAATAATAATTTTGTTATGCTAAAGTTTACATTTACTTAAAAACTAGATAGCTTGAAATACAAAATAAGAGTTCTCCTTATGAAGAAAAAACACTTGTTTTATTCATTTGATGCCCCTTCAGCAGTATCAAGTTTTATTAAAACATAATTGCAAACTGCACATAAGCTGTTACAGCATAGAAAAGATTATATGTAGTTACCAGATTAGGAAGGGCAATGTAAATCTTGAAAGAACTCTAGGGTTATTATATTACTAAATCCACTGAAATCTGAAAAATATGATGCATCCTCCTGGGCATGTGTGTGTCATGCTTTATGGAAGATTATTTTTAACATGTAAAAACCTACAGATATATTATGTTCTCTCTAGTAACTAAACTGTGCCTCGGTGCAAAATTTTATAAAGAAGGGGGAAAAGAAACCATTTACAAGCCAACAATAAAATTGTCAGTTTTCAGGTCTCCTAGCTCCAGTGTGGCCAATGGCATATCAGCCATGAAGTTCTATACAGATACAGATTTTTATACATAATCTCATTAAGACAATCAAGATTTACTAATAGACAGCCACTAATGAGATTTCTAATGGAGTTTGAAGTCCACAACAATTTTGTTAATAATATCTATATCCATATAGTGAATTAATGATATTTTATCCAGACACCACAAACATGTAAGCAGATAAATTTAAGTGAACTCTGTCTTAAAACAGACATATAAATAACTGCAACAACAGATTTTTGCAAATAAGTCAAATGACAAAAAATGAACAAGCACGCAGGCATAAATGCATTTACACATACACATCCCCCTACACATTCATGCATAACAGCTCTTAAAAATAACCCTTAGAAATACTTCATATGGCTCAGACTCAGGATAACTTTTCTTACCATTAACTGTCAATAGGTTTAAGAATCTTTACTGGGGGCACCAACAGAATGCTATGGGGTTGGAAGGAACATCTGGACATCATCTAGTCCAACCCCTCTGCCAAAGCAGGTCCACCTAGAGCAGGTTGCACAGGAACGCGTCCAGGCGGGTTTGGAATGTCTCCAGAGAAGGAGACTCCACCACCTCTCTGGGCAGCCTGTTCTGGGGCTCTGCCACCCTCAAAGTAAAGAAGTTCCTCCTCATGTTTAGATGGAACTTCCTATGTTCAAGTCTGTGCCTGTTACCTTTTGTCCTGTTACTGGGCACCACTGAAAAAAAGACTGGTCCCATCCTCTTGACACCCACCCTTCAAGTATTCCTAGGCATTGATCAGATCCACCCTTGGTCTTCTCTTCTCCAGACTAAAAAGACCCAAGTCCCTCAGCCTTTCCTCACAAAAGAGATGTTCCAGGCCCCTAATCATCTTTGTAGCCCTCTGCTGTACCCTCTCCAGCAGTTCCCTGTCCTTCTTGAACTGGGGAGCCCAGAACTGGACACTGTACTCCAGATGCGGCCTTACCAGGGCAGAGTACAGGGGGAGGATGACCTCCCTTGACCTTATCCTAATTTTTTGTCCAGGAGACAGGAGTTTTGTAGCAGATTTGAAAACTTGGATGAAAAAAAAGAAACCTGTTGTGCTTAATCTTGGGGGGAAAGGGGTGACAGCCACCACTAACATTTGGTATTTGAACCTTACATTTACATCTAGTCTGAAAAGCCTGAAACTGAATTTTGATCACCGGCCACAACACTAACCTATGAAAGCCTCTTTCAAAGCCATTAAGTTTTCCCTCCATTTAAAAGCTAAGATGGAACTGACAAAAGCAGTTTTTCCTACACTTGGAATACAGTGGTGTTAGCTTTCCACATTGATTTATAAACACAAAAAAAATCCAAACATATTTTGGCTCTATTGTAGTGACCTGCAGCAGGAACCTACGGCCTAGTAAAATGAACTTTAAAAGGCCAAACAAAGCAAAGGTCTAACATCTTTTCAAAGAAGATCATTTAGAAATAAATAAAAAAGAAGGAGGAAAAGTACAGTACACTCACCAGGCGTGTGTTAACAACAGGAAACAGCAATGCCAAGAGGGCCCCATTCAGCATATGCATCTGCAGCCTTAGAAAAGAGATTTGGTATTATTTTCATGGATGGAAATAAAATGTGATGTTTTCACGTATTTTATGTAGTATCTATTCAATAAAAGATAGCAAGAGATTTAAGAAAATTCTTCTAGCTTGAATTTGAATCGAGCCACTGTTAAATGAAATAACCAGGACAAAAACCTCTCTTTAAATCCATACTTAAATAATTTCCTAAATTAGGACTGCTTTCTATAATGAGCTTTGGATTCCTAGAAAGCCCGGACTGTCCGTTTGTGTTAATCCTGTTCATGATGCAAGCAGCTAAATAGTTGGAATGTTGCTATTCATTTGTCTTTCAGAGCTTAAAATAGCCTATTTGATAAAGTTTTTTCCTGCAATCTGACTCCATAATGGTACAGCTTCAAAGTAAAGCTTCAGGTATTTGGAAGAAGTCCCTTAAAGAAAATAATTACATTTGTCAAAATGCAACAGCAAGTCCTAAGCAAAGAAGGTGGCAGGAAAGTAGTAGTATAATGCTGCATTTTGTACAGTTGTTGCACCACAAGAACACAAAAACAGTATCAGTACTCTTTCAGTCTACTTTACATTAAGACACAAAGTAAAGAATAAACTGTCTACAACCACTACCTGTCATAGACCGTTAGGAATTCTAAAGTGACTTAAGGGAGTAAAAGGGCAAAATTTCAAAACAATTTTTCAAATGCAATTTATATGCTGTCAGGTGTTAGAAAACAGAAGGGCTCATTCTGAAAAAGAACAAATATTGTGGTCTCCACTCTGTGACCAGTCTTTTGCAAGTGCAGAGTAGACCCAGGATTTCCTGGACACCAGGCACACTTTTTACACTCTGAGATGGGGACAGTAACACAGCATCTCTGTTTTCAGCCTGCTCCCTGCCTAAATAAGGAACAGCAGGAAAAAGTTGCAAACAGACAGTAGCAGTTCCAAAATAATTCACGAGGTATGGCCCCCAGCATCATTTTTCCAGTCCCTGCCTAGACTATGAGAAGAAAGAGCTGAGTTAACTGTCAGGTGGCAATCACAGCCACTCCTGAGCACTACTCTGCCTGGGAAGACCTGTCACCCTCCCCACAATGACCAGTTACCCCCCTTAGTTGCTTACTGGGCTCTACCACAATAGTCCAATAGAGCTCCCTGCACATTAGAAACTCTTGTGGTTCCTACAGTTGGTAACAATACACAGTGTTTTAGAGAAGATTGCATAGGTTTGAGAAACACCCAAGACTGCAAGAAGTTGCTTTTACTATTTAAATTATATCCACAGTTTTAAAACTAGACCCATATTGTATGCACGGCCTCAACGAAGCCCTGTTACTAATTTTTAGTCAGGATAACAAGGAGGTACAAGGCACATGCCATAACTTACACAAGCCCATCCATTAATCTGTAGAAAGACGCCTGCATTCTCGTCTGTTACTGAGCTAATCCATGCTGCTAAGCGAGGCCAAAACCACCAGTACAAAGGAACCAAGAGAATGGGGCTCAACACCCACCACTTAAGCCCTGATGCTTTTCAAGGCATCAATCCAACCAATCCAACCAATATACCTTTCCAATTGCATATGTATCTTAATATTTTGTGACTTGAGCTGTGATTAAGTTCTAAAATACTTTATGCAAGTAGACAGAAATATATAGTAAGGAAGAGGCATTACCTGAAGAGAATCATTGCAATCCGACATGGAGGGCAGGCAAGAAGAAATATCTGAAATGTTAGAAGCAAATTTAAATTAATGATATGATCTCTTTTAGACTCCATTTTCTATATCTTTCTTTCACAGTTCTGTATGTCACAAAGAAGAACCGATTTACAGCAGAGCCACAAAAGACTAAAAATCTTGAACAAATTAAAAGGTCTGCACTATATTTGTACAGTAATGACAAATATTTTATTTTCAGTGGAAGTTCTTAATCTACAGCCATTTATTTCTCTGATCCACTTACCTGTATGTTTAATTCAGGTCAGTCTCATTAATTGTTTAGAACATGTACGCACACAAATTGTTTTTTGTAAGTCACAGCAAGAATATAAAGGCACAGCAAGAAAGAGGCAGTGATTAAATTTCACTGGATGTACCCCAAGGCATTTTTTAGGAAATACTGTTAAAATCCAATCAGAGTTTCTCGGAACTCTTGTATTTAGAAAACCAGTAATTTCAACTCATCAGGACAGCTTAAAGAGTAAAAGAACATAACAGATGCATAATGACAATCCAGTAATAGACGCCTTTTTTGTGCTGAGAAAAAATAAAAATCTTAGAAGAGGTCTACATATCACCTTGCACATAAGGCCCATGTGCCTTCTGGGAAAAGTGTCTGACACTTATTATGCTTCACTATTCCATCATTGTGTATTTTTGCAATATGCTTGCTAACTAAACTAAAGTTCCTTGAATTCTGGACTATATTTGCTCTTCTTTGGAGACCATAAGTGTCTTCTACAGGTCTCTTATAATAACTACTTTTTCCCATGCTATTTGCATTTATTAGTCAATCTTTTTAAACGCTCTGTGTTGTATGTCAGCAAAAGGAGATAGGATATTTAGAGTCTCACTAGTTCATCCAGAGTTTTAAATTCAAATTATTTTATGATTTTGCTAAATCCAATTCCAGAAATCTGACAGAAGACACATGTTTCTTTTGAAGCACAGTTCACACCTTCATGGAAAAAAAACTCTGTTCTTCCAATACAGAATTTTTCTTTCTTTTTATTTCCTACATCTTAAAAAAACCCAACCAAACTAACTAACTAACAAACAAACAAAAAAAACCAGATTGACCTTTTTCTCTATATGTACAAAATAGTTAAACCAGAAATAAATCTTAATCACACCAGTCATTTCTTTCTCTGACGCACTGCAGAGTGCTCCAACTACCACACAGTAGAGCAAAAAGTACAATACAAGTCTGTGTGCTGTCTGAATCTCACCACTGAGGATAAGAAATAGCTAGTAGCAAAAAAGGATGGCATTGTTACAAAGACCGAGATGGACATAACAATCTAAAATACTTCACTACCATGGAGACAGGCAAAGAAGAGAACAAGATTCACAGCTGTTTATTTTTACATCAACTCTACTACAAGAAACACAGCTTTAGGAACTAATGAGGGAAAAATAAATATTTATGACTTTTAAGCATGCAAGTCCCTCTGTTATGAGGGACCTTTCAGAAAATAAGCCCATCTTCCATTTTTCTTATGACAGCAGAGAAATCGTAACTAGAATGTTTATGTTAAAACTTCAGGATAATGAATAGATTTTCAAATGTTTCACTTTTAGCAGTTTAACATCAAGCACTTTCTCTCTAAATATGTATATACTTCCTGTAATAAATAAACCTCAACTTCTTAAAAAGAATGTTTTACAAGACGCAGTTGTAAATTCTACAATTGTTCTCAGGCCATAAACCGCAAGGACACTGGTACCACTGGTCAATCTGCAAACTGAAGTTCACTTCAACCTTGAGGACCCAGATGAAAAAGAAATTCTGTCAATCTACTTCCCAATCGCTCTACAAGACCATAAATATCATTGTCCATCCCCACGGGAAATATTTCTGGCATGAGGAACTGCATGGCCAGCAACCCCTGCAGAAGCCCAAACACAAAGGTCACATCACAGCATGTGATGGATCAGCAGGGCCGGGATGATTTGAAGCAGTGCAATCCCGTACATTGCAGTCTCAACTGCTCCTTCACCCAGAAGGATAATACCCATGCTATTTTTCTGCCTGTGGTAATTTAAAATTTCCTAAAAGGAATGTGTGTGACCCTGTCATTCAGTATTTGATGGAGTTCCCGAGAAATACCTTTTGAGTTCAGCAAACTTTAACAATTGTTATTTCCTTAAATCTGCTTGTATTATTCATTTGTCTCAGTGCAGCAGGTAGAAGAGCCTGTATGTAAAAGGACTATTCTGAAAACAATAAGAAAATACCATTGTATTAGTTTATTCAGAAAACTTATTTGATAGATAGCATAGGCAGCTATTCCAAAGTATTACATCCTTGATGTTGCAATAGTGTCTCTAGGTAAAAGTCAAACTCACATACATGGAAAAAAGGCTAAACATCAACCAAAATAAGACAATATTTTGCAGTTAGCTTTTTTATTTATTATATCTTTCCTACTGCTAAAATATGACAGGAATAGGTACCCAAATTTCAAAAGTGTGGAAAAAAAATCCAGTACTGAAACAAACACCCCAAAATCCATAAGAGATTGCAACATCATGAAAACAAAAAGAACTACACTAACTTTAATCTGACCTCCCTTTAATACAATCCAATTTCCTAATCTCTATGCAATGTTAACCCCTGATAGTATTTTCACTTCTTGCACTTCAAGCATTACATGCTTGAATTACCACATTAATTTGGAACTATTACAGGTTTCCATTATTTGATTTTTTTTAAGTTCATACAGAAAAAATGTTATTCAATGTCTTTTAGAGATCGTACATGTAGACTGCAGCAATGGGCAAGTGCATTGGTACAAAGAAGTGGAAAAAAGTAAAGCACACAAACGTATCTATCTGGTTTCCTATTTTCCATTTTACTGTATTGCTACATTGAAAATAGTAAGAAAGGAAAAAATTTTTGTTGTTGTATAATTGTAGTTTTAATCCAGCAGTGCCTCTATGGTATATTTGTTATGGACTACTCTTTTTTTGAGGGGGGGGACAAGGCGGGAGAGAGAGGGAAGGGAAGAGGTCATGACATGAGCAGATTTTACTAAATCTGCCTTAGTACAACTGCAATGTACTCAGATATTGAGAAACTCGAACTTCAACATACAGACCCAAATATATTAGTGAGCTATTACCTACAGCAGCCAAAATCTACTATACTAGCATGCCTGCAAGCATTTTACCTAGCCTGATCATTCTGAGCCATGACTTACCTAAAATAGAGAACCTAAAACCAGTTGATTAAATACCTAAAATGAGAGGCTGTGGTACTTGCTAGAGCTATGCCTAAGAAAACTCTCAGATACTGGCGAGGATGTATATATTTATGTTATAGATTCCAAAAGCTTTGAGAGCACTGACATAAAATAATTTGTCAGCTCCAAATTTTCTCCTTTGTCTAGTACTTCCTAGTTTCTTTGACGTGTAAGCACGCCACATTCCACTACTAGGTTTAGTAATCATCATTTCAAAAATCAAGACTAGTAAAAAATCTCAAGAGCTATTTTCAAAAGATACGTACAACGTTTTCGTTCAAAAAGGATGGAACAGCAGGGTATAAGAGCAATATTGTCTCTGAACTGAAATAAATCGTCTCTTCAAATATCTATGCCTGAATACCACTTTATTCACTGAATGTTATTGCCTCACTCCATGAGCACTCTAAATAGGGAGAGCTCACTGATTTTATTGTAGTTTTTATTTCATAGAATGGTTGGAGTTGGAAGGGACCTTAAAGATCACCTTGTTCCAACTTCCCTGCCATAGGGACACATCCCACTAAACGAGGTTGCTCAAAGCCCCCTCCAGCCCGGCCTTGAACACCTTCAGGGATGGGGCATCCACAGCTTCTCTGGGCAACCTGTTCCAGTGTCTCACCACCCTCACAGTAAAGAATTTCTTCCTAATATCTAATCTAAATCTCCCCTCTTTCAGTTTAAAACCGTTGCCCCTTGTCCTATCACCCCACTCCCTGATCAAGAGTCCCTCCCCATCTTTCTTGTAGCCCCCTTAGGTAACTGGAAGGGGCTATAAGGTGTCCCTGGAGCCTTCTCTTCTCCAGGGTGAATAACCCCAACTCTCTCACCCTGTCTCCATAGGAGAGGTGCTCCAGCCCTCTGATCATCTTCATGGCCTCCTCTGGACTTCTTTTGGTCCTATGACTTAGCTGGATCTCCAGGGTTTTTTTGATTCCAAAATGTTCCAAACCTCTACAAAATATTACACGTAAGAGCTCCCTTCAGAAGTATTTTAGTGATGCTATTTTTCAGTTAGTACACTGGGGCAGAGAGTGCAGTCAGAACTTGTCATGAAAGGCTTTTCTTCAACAGTCTTCATACTGCCAAGACAGAAAGATGCCCAACACAAAGATCATCTCGTTTGATCAGAAACAAACTAAAAAGACAAAAGATGACAATTGAAAAGGTAGCAGGGGAAGAAAAGAACAAGTCAGACAACTCTAAACATTCCAGATTAAACATCACATGAATAAGCACTTAAAATACCAATAGGAACACTGGCAGATGTCTGAGGAGAGTTGATCCTGGCAGAAGATGCTGCAAGATGTCTCTGGCTAAGCATGCTACAAGTAAAACTGCTTCATCTCACATATGCAGCACAGATTTCATTTACCTTTCAAAGCAGCAGCTTGTCTGTCCCCAAGACGCCTGTTTGATTTAGTATCACATTGCAGCTGGCTGGAAACGTATCCTTCTTTTCAAAAATTCCAGTCATGATCACTTAACCAGGTCATAAATTGATCAGTTTAGTAAACTATTTCCAAATTTAAACTTCAAGAGGTTAGATTTTAATTTCTACTTGCAATATTCAGAGTAATGTGAAAAATTCACTGCATTAATCCAAAACTAGAATTTTTGTGTGTGTGTGTCTTTTTAAAAATTCAGAGACAAGCTTTAGTCAATCTGCACTGAAATAAAAATCTTCACCCTTTCTTAGGTGTATCAAAGTACCCTCCAGAGCAGAAGAGATTAAAAGGTATGATTAAAAGGCTAACATT